GGGGGGGGGGGGTTACATGTATGTAAAAATATAAAGGCACCCACTGGTGCACCTTGGTTTTCACCTCATCACATCAGAAGTGTTTTCTTTCAAAGTGCATCTTCAGTGGCACAAAGATGCAAAAGATGCTATATGCACCATCTGGACCACAATTTCTTCTCCACAGGAGCTGACATGTTATACTGCTCGGAGAAATACGTTAACTGCTCCTGAAGTTACATGAAGAAACAGAGCATTTATACATTATTTCTCATTCTTTTGGACACTATGCCTCCGTAATAAATGAGTGTGTAACACACCCTTGATTGCCACTTATTACACACCCCTCGATGTTCCTTTAAAACCTTCACCTCAACCTAATCTCTTTCACTACATTTCATAAATTATGACTGAAGAAAGAACTTCAAAATTCCTCTTGTTCTGGAATAATGATAAAGTGTCCTTTCATACATTATATAATTTATTAACAATATTCTAATAAATGAATAAATAAATAAATTGAAATAAAATTTAAAACTTGGAATTGTGAACATATGTGGCAATATTATCACATGCTGAGTGGCAGCAACTGGAGTCTTATATCTACAAACATGATTTCAAACAGTCCTTTTTATTTTTTGTTTCATAAGCTACAAAACAATTTATTTTAATTTCATTCATTTATTATACATGTGATAAGCATGGAGAAATCTCACAGGAAAATCCAGAAGCCACATTTAGATAAGCTGAGCCGTTAAATAAATTAACATCTTTTGCACAAGAACTGGCCATATAACCTTGGCTGCCATAACACAGTTTCTCGGGAACAGCTACTGGAATTTCCCCCAAGTTTCCTCTTTAATTGGTATAATTTCATACCATAGATTAAACAATAATTCAGACTGTGATGTACCTCGTGAAATAATTCCCATCAGTGTCATTAGTGGGAAAAATACAAGAAGCACATGTAAGGGAGCTCCAAGTCACTTTTTCTTTTTTCAAAACCTGCAATACGTACAAAAACAAGGAGCTCCAAGTCCCTTCTAGAGGTTTCTCAATAAAAACTTGTGATGCCTTCACATAATGCGGCTTTATACATACCAATTTGTTTACTCAAGTTTATTCTTTTAACATAAATTATACTATAATTACAATTTTTTAAATTGTTCATTTGTGAAACTCTGTAAATCCTTACAAAGGACAAGAAGCTGCAGTAGTGCTTTGTTCCCCAACAGAACATATCACACAACACACCTTCCCTTCTGATCAATGAAACCCGTGATTGAGATTTCATACAGATATAGAAAGTCTGAAAGGAGAAATATGAAGTACATATCTTTCTGCCAGAATTATTAAATACTCTATCTTGGGGTCAATATTGACCTGAAAAATTGTGACTTGCATGGGACAAGGAAAAACGAGGATGACTGAGTAAGCGAAGCGGGGGATATCTGCTCTTTTCTGCTGTGAGATATCCGCATGTGCAGACAACTGCTGCTGCTGAGCTAACTCACGTGATGTGCTGCATAAAGAGAGTGAAGTACATATGCATACCAATCAGGAATTTAGCCACCTGCATTTTATTCCTGTTTTGCATTATGATCTACTGACAGCCATCACAATATTTTTAAGCTCGCACATAGTTTAAAATGCAAGGAAATATCTATACAGAACTACCATCAAGAGATGATACCAACACTCTGATGATGATTTTGGTTCATGCAGGTAATATGATGGCTTTAGCTGACTAACCCTGAATCTTCTAAAATGCTACATTCTCTTGTTTCATCTACTTAAGAGCTACAGATGCAACGAAACAACCAAGGAAACCCAAACTTCAGAACACACTCGCAAATATGTTCGACATTCAAAATTGAGAACCAGTATTAATCTTGCCTGACCCCAAGCTATCAGATCCCTTCAAATAACAACTGCATTCACGATTTGACACATTTAAAATTAGCATGCATTTGGCACAGAAAGGTATGAAGAAGAGTCGGAGGCAGGGATGCAGAGTGGGTGCAGTCTCAGCAGTGGCACTGCGGTACCTTCCTGAGCAATGCAAAACTTTTCAGAGCATGACAAGGTAAGTAATTTATTTATAAATGACTAAACAGTTAATTACAAAATATTAAATTACCACCTCAGAGCGTTATCTTTTGTTTACTTCTCATTCTATTAAAAAGACCGATGTCTGACTTGTAAAAACCATTCACTTCCTCAATGGCTTCTAGCGCTGGTATTGAACTCTCATTATTACAATTTGTGTTTGATTCCCTTGCTAGCATTGTATGAACAGGCCAACACTTAGTTACGTTTATGTACAAACTGATTTGTTTGGGGTTATTATTGAATTAAAAAACTGTCTTTGTGTACATATACAATACAACTGTAATAAATGCGCACACAAGATCTGTGCAGTGGAGTATAATAGTTTAAATTACATTCTATGCATCAGAAACCAATCAACACTCACACTTGTTAAAATAAGTGTGACAGTAACGAATGGTGTGTTGCCACTCAACAGCATCCTGCTCACATTCTCTGCAGTGTCCCCTACTTTCACATTCCACAAGAGCCAAGATGTGCCATCAATATGCAATATGCAGCAATGTTAAGAAAATATCAGAAGATACACTCACACAAGCACTTGCTCTTCAACACTATCGAATGCCAACACAGGAGGAAAATCAACGGCAAGCTCTTTGACACTATCTTATTGCAATACACAAACTAACCGGAATGCAACAAAATTATATTTATGTCATAAAGCATTTATAATTATACATATTATTATCCATTTAAATAAATGTTCCACTTTGGCATGTCAAGGAAAAGTGCGAGCAATCGGGAAGATTAAAGCTCAAACACATAAATTTATTGTATAAACAGAGCCTATAGTAAAGAACTTTTTTCAAAATGATCCCTTGACTTTTATAACTCCCATTCTGACTTGCATCATATGTATATATATTTAAAAATAATAATAATAATAAAAAAACTTGGATATGATTCTTGATTAAAATAAGAAGTTGTAGCATTAACAACAAAAGCTCTCAAGTTAAGCTTCAAAAATTTTTGGGAGTTCATAGTTATTATGTACCTAAGTTTCTATTTATACTCTGCTTCTGTTCCACAGCTGTCAGAATCAGTGTCAAAGCTTCCAGCTTCTTTAACACGAAACGCCTGAACTCCACCAACTGTTAAACCACAGCTTCACACCAAGGAACTCACTCACTTGGGGCCAGTTACAACAGCCACAAAACACCAGCAGCTTAACAAACTTGCACAAATTGTAACTGGCTTCTGTATGTTACACCATCTCTGATACAGTCACTGTAAGGTTCTCGGGGTCCAGCACTGAAAAAAGTCCAAGCTTAGTGATCAAATGGAATTCTCGTCTAGTGTCTCCTCCAGAATGTTGGGTAGATGTGCCTCCAGAACATACTTGATAGTCAACTACTACTGGGAACAACTATCATATGGTATGGAGTCATGCTGTTTCATGAACTACTGCACCAAGATGATAATTTCCAATTATGCTGAAGATTATCCTGAAAACTGGTTAAACTACTTCACTTTCAGAAAGAAATCCACAACACAAACACCAATTCCAATGGGAACATGCTATTGCTTCCAATATTTTTATTTGCTACAAATGGATTCAGTTTTTCAAAAACTTAAAGCCACATTAAAAATTAAAAGCGTACAGGTAACTCGGATGGGAACAAAATCACACTCTCTCTACAGCCACACTGCTACTAAGGTGCTGCAACACGCCTTCCACTACTATGTTCGCTTCAACATCAAAAAATTATGGGAAGGAATAGAAAATTAAATATGATATAAAAATTAGTAATAAGCAATATCCTGGATCAAGTGCTGAAATTACCTGGCATGAACTCAAGCATTCCAATCATTGCTCAAACCCTCAGCATTCATTTCATTTGACTTTACTCAATTAGAAGACAATCTGATACGTCACATCAGATATGTATCCTGTAGCCAGTCAGTCATTCTGTCTGTAAGTATCCACTAAAACACCCTCACACCCTGTTCTCATTACTAGCAGTGCACACTCCCCAAACTCCTCCATCCAATTTCCTTACAAATGGCATACAATATTTATGATGGCTACAATACATATATATCTCGTTGTGCATCTTCCTCCACTGATCAGTAGGTAACTACAGCTCATGCCAGTTCATGTATCATTGCATCAACACCAAGCAAAATCTCAAGGTCAACTTCAACAATAGTAGACACATGGGCCAACTCATAGTCTCATGTCCAACAATTCTCTCTTTGACTAGGGATATTTCATAATTCTAAGATGATATTTCCTCTTGCAATTAAGCCCAGTATCCTCTTTACCTCGTCAATGTTTTTTCAGCAGATTAGTTGGCATTTTGGTTCAACCCTTCAAGACATACAAATTATCGGACTGGTTCAACTTCTCTGGCTACTGATCACATAATTACAATGGAAGTATGTCTGTACAGCTGTTATGGTAACCCAGCACAAATTAATGCTGTGCTGACTGAAAGCAATAAATTAAACACAGACATCGCCAACGTGTACCAGACATGACTTGGCGGCTCATTACATCTCGATGACCACAGAGAATATACCTACCCTGAGCGGATTAAGACAGGAGTTGATATTGGGTATCTTAACACCTTCTTCCCTCCCACCCATAAAGAGCAGCAAGCAGGCCACGTTAGTATCACAGTACTGACAGTGTGAGAACTGTACTCCCAAACTATTACACTGTGTTGCTAATGGATGAAGCTTCCTTATCACAGCTTTGTTACAGATGTCTTCATAGCAGTGCCACAGCCTTCCCCCTCCTTCCCTGTTCACACTTGTAGCACAATATTGCTTCTCATGTTGTAACTATGCCGTATCTACTGTCGAGCAGGGGACATGGCTGGTCTCCCCACACTGCGGCTGCTCCGATGACTGCTGAAGCACGGCGCTACTGCCACTATTCGACAGAGTACCTTCATTAATGCTGTCTTGCATGGCAGCAGTAGTGATCATAGTCGGTTCTGTATCCTCGCCTGTTCCCACCTGAGGGTGATTACTGGTGATTCCACTAGGTCCTGGCGATGGCTGTTCCTGCACTCCAGTGATGTAACTAGAAACAACACACAGATCAACATTTTCATACATAAACCAATGAGCATATATCTCTCTCCTGACTGAGAATTTTCATCATGAGACCTGAAAATAAATTTCACTGTGATCAACTGAAGCAAAAACCTGATTAGTGTTCTCATAATTGGTGCAATCCTCTAATTAACATACTTTTTGTGGTGCCAGTCAAAGCCCAATAAAAAATGTATTATGAGTACTGTACTAATATTCAATGAATTTAAATTTAGTAAACAACCCACATTTGGCGTAAGAAATCTTCAACCTTCCGGAACTTGTATCGCAATTTACTGTGACTGTGGCTGTGGCTGAACCTGATTTGCAGACTTTTCTCTCTGACAGGAATTGTTCCCATATGGCCAGTGTGTTTCATATGCCATTAGTTTAGGAATAAACTTTATACCATTTTAAAGGGAACCAGGACCACAGCTCAGGAAGTGATTTTTTGGTTAAAAAAAAAAACTAGAGTTTGTTAAATATAAAATTTCATATTAAATCCTTCAGGGCCATTTATATGATTTTACTCATACTACTGTAAATGTGTATCCACCACTCAGAAAAGGTGAGCACTGATTTCAGTTTAAATTTATTGAGTTAAGTTATATGCAGTCCCAGTTACCCAGTATCAAAGCATCCAGAACTATCATGCACATGTTAGAAATTTAGCATTTTTATAAAGTTCCTTCAGAGGTAGGGCTGAAGTGTAAATGTGCTGTTTTGATATTGAAACAGAAAATGGAAATGTTTGAAAGCCTCAAAAATGGTGAAGATCATGTGAAAATTAGGCTCTTGCAAAGTTTTTTCTTATGCAATGAGCAGATTCATTCAATTATAACATCCCATTCCCTGTACATGCCAGATGATGGCAAGTTTGCAGAGTGCAGATGAATGACTGCATACTGCTTAGTTCCTGCAGCACACAACTCTTTGTCTGTCTGCATCTTGTAACCAGTTTTCTTTCATGTGTATTATTTTATGATGTACTCTATATCAATATCAATATAACAGTGAATGGTAGAATGAGTAATAAAAATAGTAAGAACAAAAAGAGAGAATATGTAAATGGGAAAGTCAGTGATGGAAACAAACAGGGAAAAGAAAGGGATATACAAATTCAAGTTTTCTCAGTGGTGGAAATTCAAACTGTGGTCTTCTGAGTTATGGTACTGTGTACTCTGGTGTGTGTGCACCAGCATACCACAGTGGAGAAACACAGTTCCTCTGGTTTGAGACTAACTCAAAAGAGCACAATATTAAAAATATAAGGGATGTGAATAAAGGTGTAAATGAATTCAAGTTGTGATACCACCCCTGGATGCATCCGATAAAGACTGGAAATGGTGAATGTCATGATGTTCAGTTTGTTGGATGTATCGTCAAAGTTCTGCGCCATCCACATATCTGTTAAGGTTGATTTGTATGGAATATTTTGTATGTAGTTTGTAGGGTCAGTTATAATCTCTTTACACCAAAGTTCATACTAGTGGCTCAAACTGTCTGTCCATTATTGGTGTCTACGCATAAAGCTAAACAAAATTTTTGCATTGCTGCCTCGGTGATTTTTACTACACAAGAAAAAATTGTCTGAATAAAAGTTACAGGTTTTAAATATCGTTACCTGATATCATTTCAGGGCCCTGCATTACAGTGGTTTTGCTGCCATTCCAACCTCATAAGTTTGCGTGCCCACAACGTTTTATTGCTGTTTGTGGGAAATTAGCTAGGAGCTCCAGGCACAATTCATTAAATCTACTGTCCTACTGAAGAGCCTTCCAGCTGTTAGATAAACATAATGTTTCCTGTTTCTAAACAACATAGCATTGAATGCAAAGCACTGAAGCCAGGAGAGATCAAATTCTAATCACAAAATAGCTTGATGTTCAGAATACCTCTGACTAGCAGGCATTCGTTTGGCAAGTATGCGCTGTGTCACTGCAGTGTTTGTGGATGCAGCAGCATGGGCTGGATATGCCATGAAAGTTGGTGCCACTTTTTGTTGTGGTGTCGGCTGTTCCTCAGGCTGTGGACTCTCCCCTTCTTCTGACATCTCCTCTACTTCTGGCTCCTAGGCAAAATGTGTTATATGTAGAACTCCTCTTTCCTTTTGATGCTTCACAAACATGTGGTAAGTAAAACTTGAGAACTGTTGGGCAAGCATATAGATTTATGATGCTGTGATATAAAACAATACAAACACAAGAGATGAAGTTTATTTTTAAATGTAACGGTTCATAGAAACCCATGTGACAAGAATGAAACAAAAGAACAGCGTTCCCATCTCACAACTTCATGCACATAACGCATACACAGCAAATGTGTTTCTAACATACCTCTTCTGGGCACAGTTCACATGCTCTCTCCAGTGTTTTCCGAGCACTGTTTGAACGTTCCAGGAAGTATCCATTTGTTGATTCGTTTGACTGTGCTGGTGGTGACCAGTTATTGTAACTATACTGTGTACTGGGTGCATATGGACGCTGAAAACACACATTCCCTCTCAAAGATGGAAGTGACAGACATGATTTTGTAACTTAAACAGCTCAGTAATTCACACATCTACGCCAAACTATTCAAGTATTCTACTGATTAAAATAAATGCACAGGCCAAAGGGAATTCTAGTGTAAAGCAAAGACTGATGAGTTCTGTAGGATTTGAGCCTCTCGCAGCGGTGATCACAATCACTTCTGTCTTCCGCAATATAACACTGTGTAGTTCAATAAAAGTCTACCAATTGTAACACATTTTATATTCCACCAAATTTACATTTCTCTTAAATTTGCCTTCATTTTTCAACGTCTGATAACTGAAATTTATCCAAGTTTACAGCTACAGCTTTCTATTTCGAAAAATTCACATTCACGTTGAAAGTCTTCCCTAGCAAAACATGCATATCTTTGTGAGAGCTATACAGACTGTGAGCTCAAGAAAACAGGAAACAAATGACTGGTTACAGAAATAATATGACATGTAGGTTAAAATATTTCCATTCACACTATTATTGTATTCACACACACACACACACATATTCTTTAAATGGACTGCCGAAGTTACAGCACAAAGCAAACCACATTCTTCTGTCGCATCATTTCCATTTCCCTAATTTTACACCGTCAAACTTACAATTATTTTATGTTGTCTCTTCAAAACTGGAAAAGTGAGGATTCCCTGTACTAGAAATATTATTATTATTATTATTATTATTATTATTATTATAATATTTCTGTTATTATTGATGATGACCTGATTTATAAATACATTGTCCAGTCTCTTCTAGCCAGTTGAAAGTTGATGTTTAAGAAATCCTTCCAATGTACTTTCAAATAATATAGCCTAAAAAGTATTTTAAAATCTGAAACCTCACCCAATAAATATACTTACCCTCTCCAGTTCATCCTGAAGCCACTCAACAGCAAGAGTCCATTTCCTTTTGACCTCTCCATTTGTGTGGAGCATCTGGTTAGCGGGCCGACATTTTGAGAACAGTGTCACCATACATTTGATACACTGGTATGCTCTTTTCTGGTAGTGGTTCTTGCTGCGCTGAATTGTGTCAAACAGACCTTCTCGTTCTTCGGGCACACCTTGAACAGTAGTGTCAGTTACATTGTATGGCAAATACAGATACACACAACAAAAGTTTAGAGAAATACATTTGCTGGTGAAGAACTTCTTCCACAACCTCTGTCAACCAGAGGGATTCCTAGCATACTGTAGCTTCTTCCATAATGTCTTGCTTTCAAACTATTTAGAGCAGGCAGTCCATAAACATACCATTAACCCATTCTCCCATCAGAATTACTGGGCTTTTGGACATTGTCCATCATTCGGTATTCCAAAAACTAGAGAACACAACACTTCAGAAACTGGATGTCTCTGTCCTCACGTGACGGGGGAGGCTAGCTCTTTGTAATGGAATGGACCCAACAGAATAAGTGTCTCTCCCCTCATGTGAGGATGAAAACATGTCCAGTTTCTCAAATGTTGTGTTCTCCAGTTTTCAGAATACTGAACGATGGACAAAGTAATTCTGTATGTCACCCACCATCGTCAGAACCCTTTAGAATCTACATGTCAGATTCAGTTTTGGAAAATTCCAAATGCAAGTTCTGGCTGTGAAATTTCTACTGCATGATGGAAATCAATGCTCTCTCCACTGTGATCCTAGCTTTAATAGAACAAGAACAGGAAGCCTACCAGCTTTGGTATAGGTTGTATTTACTATCAACTAGTGCAAAAATAAAACACAAAGAGAAATACACAGAGCATTGTGTTCCTACAATAAAGTATCACAGTGTCATCAGGACTAGATGCGTACTCCTCCAGTTACAGAAGGCATACCTTTCAATGCGTTGTGAATACGATGCGTCTGCCATGAATCCTCAATGAGCAACATGCTCAATAGCAGGTCCATGTGGTGCCTCAGCTCATGGCAGTATGCATAGGCAATCTGCCACAGCAACTCGCTGAGCACTGTGCGTGAAAAGTGAGGATTCTCCCAGCAGCAGAACTGCAGCAGCTTCACAGTTTCTTCTGAGAGATTTGCATCCTCAATCAACTTCTTGATGTAGCTGTCACAACAAATATTAATAATTGTAAGAGCTCGGCATCCATCAATCTAACCCTAACACTCGTACATCTGACTTGCGTTAAGGAGGTCCACCTTAGATTTCAGCCCCTCTGAGGCACGAGTATGCTTAACAGTACCTTCACACAGATCATGTCTAAATGGAAATACTTATGAACTGTCATCACACCTTGTTCACATCTGCTGCCAGTGTGGCTAGTTACGTATCTGTTAATTAGTAAATACAACATACAATATGTTAAAATTTGCATGCAATAAAAATTAATGAAAGAGAACATAAAGAGTGTGGACGCATATGTACATGTAACTGTATACCGCATGTCCAAAAAGTATCCGACTATTTTTTTCTGCTGTAAGTAATGACCAGAGGGGTGGGGAAACTGAGCATAGTGGTAGAAGGGACTTTCATGCGCATGCGTGATTTTTCGCTGACTCGCAACACTGCCGGATGTGTCTCTGGCTGCCAGATAGTGAAGTGGTGTAACATGTGTTCATCGCATTCTCGTTTCACTCAAGATGACAGAACGCTTAGAGCAGCGATACTGCCAGAAACTTGGGGATACCCAAGCAGAAACAATCTGCAAAATTCAGCAGGCTTTCGGCGATGATGCAATGGGGTCCACTCAAATTAAAGAGTGGTTCAACCGCTTTAAACATGGCCGTATGTCGGCGGACAGTGAGCAGCATTCCGGGAGACCGTCAACAAGCCAAAATGCTGATGTCATTGAAAAAGTGCGGACACTGATCATGGAAAATTTGTAAATTAAACCACTGCTTGTTTACTATTCAGAAACTCCACCAGTTTTCAAGAAGTGTGAAGTCCAGAAGAGCAGGCTAAATGTGATGTGGACGTCCAGCAACAAGGATTGGGTGACATGTGACCTTTTCACTGATTGGATCAATGAAGTGTTTGGTCCTTCTGTGAAAAAAATATTTGCTTGAGATGAATCTGCCACTCCATGTCTTGCTTGTTATGGACAACGCTCCTGCTCATCCTCCAGACCTACAAGATGACCTCCTTGAAGAATTTAAATTCATCAAGATCCAGTTTCTGCCTCCCAACACCACTCTGTTACTCCAGCCTTTGGACAAGCAGGTTATTTCTAAGTTTAAGAAGCTGTACACTAAAGCACTCTTCGAGCGTTGTTTTGAGGTGACTGAAGCAACCAATCTCACTCTCAAAGAGTTTCGGAAATATCACTTCCACATCGTTGCCTGCCTCAAGATGATCGAAAAGGCGTGGGAAGGGGTTACCAAGAGAACCCTCACTTCTGCTTGGAAGAAGCTTTGGCCGGAAAGCATTGTTGAACATGACTTTGAGGGGTATGAGATAGCACCTGTGGAGCCTGTAGTCAACAAGATTGTGTCTTTGGCCAAGATCATGGGGCTGGAGGTGGATAACAATGATATCGATGAGCTTGTGGAAGAGCAGAGCCAAGAGCTGACCACCGAAGAGCTTATGGAGTTGCATTGTGTTTCACAGCAAGAAGTTGTGGAGGAGAGTTTGTCAGAGGAGGAGGAGGAGGAGGTAACAGCAAAGCAACAATCTTCTGGCGCAATAAGAGAAATGCTGAAAGCATGGGAAACTGTTGCATCGTACATTGAGAAGCATCACCCTAATAAGGCAGTGGATATGTGCGCTACAAATTTATTTAATGATAATGCTGTGTCGCATTTTCACCAAATTTTGAAGCATCGGCAAAAACAAATGTCTCTAGACAGCTATCTAGTAAAAAAGATTTAGATATTTATCATAAATAATAAACTAATTATTTGATTTTTTTTTTGTTTTCTGCAAATCGAATTCGCCTTCCAGGTTGGTTTATTCTGCATAGAAGAAAAGATGAAGATGATTCATGCTCCTTAACAATGTATATATAATTTTCTTTGAATAAACGTTATACATAAATTTTTTTGAGTATTTTTTTCGGCATGGAACGCATTATTGTATTTTACATTAATTTATATGGGAAAAATTGTTTCGCTTAACGAGTGTTTCGCATTACAAGTAAGATTCTGGAACAAATTATGCTCATTAATGAGGTTCCACTGTACTTTGTGGGGTGAAATATTCATACTAAATCACATGTAGGAAGCGAACAGTTTCCCATAGTCATGGTATACTGACTTGCTAGTACTTCTTCATACTATGGGTTTCACATCCAGATGCAGATCTTGGGATTCTTTTCTACATACTGCATGTGACAGGTGTATTGGAAGCTTGTTCTGTATTCATGTATAAATTGATGTGGTACTTCTTTCATAGGATCCACAGTTATGGGGTTGATCTCATATGTGGTACAGGTATTTACACTTGTTCCTTCATTGTGCTGTTGCTCCTGTTGTCTATCGTTAGTGTCATAACACGTCTTACACATTATGTGCACTCTCAGAATATTTGCATGGTGTTAATGTACAATCCCCAGGCAGCCCATAAAACTCCCCTTCAATCTGTCAAGATTGGAGTGTGGTGTGCAGTGTCTTTGTGATAGAACTGTTGGAACCATTTCCTTTCAAGAGAACATTAACTTCGAGCCCCATACTATCATGTATTAGTGACTAGACACAGACTTCAGAATGATTATTCAGTTTACTGGATGCTCCATATCCGTAACTATAAATAACTACAGCATAGTAAGTCTTTCCAGTCCATGTATTCAAGTACTCATTGCCTGGTAATAGCTGACAACAGCAGGGTTTTCCCTACTGCTTCCATGTTTGGTGACTCATGTCCTCAACAGCTGATGACTCGATAGCTAACACTAACATTGACCTGGTCCTGCTGGTTCTCCCTACCCAACTTCGGGACAGACTGAACTCAAAATGCCACCTCCGAGAGTTCCTCTACTGTTGTATGCATATTTGTTCCTGTTGGAAGGTATTTACCAAGCCACTGCCTAGCAATGGATGTCTCCAAGGTTCTTCTCTGACTCAACTATTCTAGCTTTCAGGTGTCAATGTCATGACACTGACACATTCCATGAATTCCTCCCACGCATCACTGAAGAGGAAACTTTGAGGCATGCCTTCAACAAGACAGCACAACACGTCATACAGCAAATGTGATGACTACATTCATGTTTTCCCCGCTGTTTGGAGATCTAATCATTTCAGAAGGACTATGGCTCCCACAGCTCACAGAATTTGTTACCACCGGATCATTTTTGCTATATTAAGGACAATACCCATCACAATAATCCATGCAATGTGGATGAGCTGAAAGCAAACAATTCTGACATCACTGCCAACATTCCACCCATGACACTGCAGACAGTGTCTAGAACATGCTTTGTTGTACTCAGTCATGTACAGAAAGTGCTTGATGCACATTTTCACAACTTTTTGTAACATAACATATTGTAAACACTCTACTGTGAATACTGCTCTTATTTTAAAAAAATCACCACACCGTTCACACAAGTTTCAACAAAATGATTGTAGCCCTCTAATACATGATGTTATTAACATCCCTAATATTTGATTTAAAAAAAATCATCCTGAATAATGTACACTTTTCATATGACAACGAAATATAAACATGATCATCATCTCATTTTCTACTCTCACCTATTTCTATGTTCAACAGCAAAGGTTTCTGATGAACAACAGGAAGATTTCACTGTACAACTACAGTGTCTCAATACTTCTCATGTTATGTAACACATGCCACCTATGCTGATACTGTATTTTCACTTATGCAGTTTTTACAAAGCCTTAGTTTTATAGAATCAAAGTGAACAGTACTTACATTAAGATTAATATCTTCTCAGACATGATGCCATGTAGTCCGCTAGAAGTTTACCAGTATTTCAGATTAATGTACGGCCTGCATCTACAGGGTCAAAAAGGGAGCCCAGCAAGCAGCCCTCAGTAAATACCTACCAGTCTACACAGTCACATCCCCGAACACAGTACCTTTCATATTTGCTGCTATGAGAACATCAGATCCAACAGTCCTTACCTGGTTCTACCAAACAAAATTTCTGCTGCCTGTGGCTGAATAGGCATGATAAAATCTGGGACAGCTGGGTCTCCATATGGGTTTGGTAGAGGCAGCATGCCCTACAGAAATAAACCGTACTTTTATTTCAATTACTACTGGTACACTGCAGTAAAACAGTGACAGATCAAGTATGGCTTATACCAAGGACTTCATTACAACAACAAAAAGCCACTGGAACTGGCAATTTCTCAATGTTACATATAGTAAACCCTTGCTAATCTGGTAACAGTTAATCTCAAGTAAAATATGAAAAATGAAAAATTCTGTTCACAGTTGAGTACATACTTTAAAAGACACGAAGGATTTAGGGGCAAAAGGACTTTCAGAGTGTGTTGAGGGCAGCTGGAGAGACTGAAACCACACAAGAAAATATCCAAAATTGGCTTCAGCTAGACAAAGAGACCCTGGATTTCAGCACCTTGTCTTTTTATTGTTTTTAAATGAAGGTTCTACTGTGATTTTTTTATTTTCATCAACGTTACCTGTATTATTAAATTTTATATTTATTTTGCTTTCCTAATCCAGATTATTGCTTAATCTGGATGACCTCTCTCCCAAATTATTAGATTAGTGAGGGCTTACTGTATATGCAAAGCCATTACATAAAACTAGGGGTTTCTCTCCCCACACCATCATATTCTCTAGTCACCCTTTTTCCTCACTACATATTTCGCTCATACACGGTCATCATTAGGTTTCTTCTATCTTGCACAGTATGTCGAAATTACATGTCACGTGTGACTGCAGTATTTCCTAATTAAAACAAATTAACTTCAATTAAAATTAAAGTTATTTAACACCTTAATGTTTTTCATTGTGGTCGCTGTCCACTCATTTAAGACATTTGTCTCGGTACTTCACATTTTGGATTTATTCGTGCAGCATTCTGCTTTGCAGCATGGGTATTATGAGTGTTATCTGTGCAGTCTGTAAGGATGTTGATGAGTGTTATCATCAGTTTTGTTATGTATGCACCACTGGCTGTATGTTCTTCATGCTGCCAGAGCAGTTATGTTGTTAAGCGTCTGTGTATGTAGATATTATAACAAGTGATTAACTAGTCACCACTGCTTTCATGTTAACCCAACCTCTCTGTCCTACATATGTATTTCTTGTTCCACAATCTGAGTGCAGCTTATCCCCATGGAGTATGTACATCACATGACAGCCTCTGAATTTCCTTATCCATCCAGCAGCTTGTCTCATTGTGTACAGTGTTGCTTGGCTTGTCTATGGAGAAGTCATGCAGGACTCTCCCCCCTCTGTCACACACACTATAGATTACAATTCCTGAGCTTCCACCAACTTTGGATGATAAAGTCACAGAATACAGCTATTATATGCTTAAGGTCCTGTCCACATGTGATATGTGCTGTGTTTCAGTCGGCACTGACTGCAAACTTTTGCAAAACTTTAATTACCACAATCAGATGGAAATGCTTAAATTTGATTGTGAAACAAAATATCACAGCCACGCTGACCTCTGCACTAGTCGGAGATGAGTGGTCAGTTTCATGCCCCTGCTGCTTTATCCCTAGGGAAAGTGCCCCCCCCCACACCCACTGTAAAGGGGGCTGGGTGGGCCCCAGAACCAGTCTGGATACTGTGAACGAAAGAAATTTTTTGCCCTGCTGGGACTCAAACTCTGACCCCTCAGCTGTCCAGCCCATAGTCAGTAGCTATATTGACTGTGTTATCCCAGCCCTTGAACAGTACACAATACACAGTGGCACCTCCACTTAAAGCTCTTTCAATTAATGTTTCCCTCTTTCAGTGTTCAGTTTCAATGAACCCAAGTCATAACTTCAGTGGTTTATTTTTATTTTCTATTTTTTCATCAATGTTAACTTTCTTCCAATTCAGATTTTCCTAAACTCAGTGTTCAAATCCACCACTCTCTACAGAAACCTTAAATGGGTTCACTGAATTGGTCCAGGTACTTGGTGAACTATGCAGATAATTAGCCCACCTGCTGCGACTGTGATGACTGTGTTTTCGAGCTGACATCACAGCAGCGAATCAGCTGTGATACTACCTGATGGAGTTTGGTTAACTCTGGGTACTGGTACTTTATAGGAGGTCCTGGGCCTTCATCCAACGCTACCAACATAAATGTGGCTGGTACATTCAGCTGTAAACAGAGAATACTTGAGTAATAAATTCCAAACAGAACCTGTGAAAGTTCATCCTATCAGTCTTTACGAGAACAGAATGCAAATCAATTAAAACAGGAATCATGCTTCAAATTTCTGAATATTCCAGAAATGAATCTAACTGAAGTTAACACTTTAAAAAATATTAAACAAATATTCTAACATGCTTCAGAACTCAGCAGTTATATCTAAAAATGCTCCATACTCACTCACTCTTGGAGCTGAGCCCTTCCTGAGAAGCTGCCAATTGTGCAACTACTCAAGAACTTCTCAGCACTTTATGCAACCCGAAGGTTCATTACACTATACACAAGAGCCCTCCTGAAACAGATCAATCCGATCAATACCATCCCATCCTATCTAATATGCATTTTAATATTGTCCACCCACCTATGCCTTGGTCTCCCCAGTGGTCTCTTTCCATCTAGCTTTCCCCACCAATATCCTATATGCATTCCTCTTCCCCAATTCGTGCTACATGCCATGCCCATCTCATCCTCCTTGACGTGATCATTCTAATTATACTTGGAGAAGAGTACAAGTTATGAAGCTCCTCATGATGCAGTTTTCTCCAGCCTCCTGTCACTTCATCTCTCTTCAGTCCAAATACTCTCCTCAGCACATTGTACTCAAACTCTCAGTCTGTGTTCCTCCCTTAATGTCAGAGACCAGGTTTCACACCCATACAGAACCACATGCAAAATTATAGTTTTGTACACTCTAATTTTTATATCTTACCTGAAATCAATCCTTTCTTAATTTACTTCTGAATCAGGTTTTGATTTGTTACAGTCATTCCCAAATATCTGAACTGTGCCAAATTTTCATAACATCTGTTACCTATCTTTATATCGTAATTTTTCCTTGCATTTTGGTGATGAGATAGCAACATATACTAAGTTTTCTTTGTGTTTACTTCTAGACCAACCTCCTTACTAGCGCCAATTAAAGTCAGTGAGTTTCTCTTTATCGTATGTATGTTATCACCCACGAGATTCACATCATCAGCATAGACCAATAGCTGATGTATCCCATTTAATTTCAGTCCCACCTGGTTTTCCTGGACCTTCCTAATGGCATATTCTAAAGCAAAGTTGAAAAGCAGTGGTGATAAGGCATCTTAGTTTAGACAATTCTTGATATGAAAATAATCAGACAAATGTTTACCTATACGGACTTTACCATATGTTCCCCTTAAACACATTTTAATCAGGCTGACTAGTTTCATGGGTATACAAACTCTATCGGATATTGTACAGGGTTGGGCGCAGAAACTTCCTTTTTTTGAAGGTGAATAAAAGAAAAATTATTGCTGATAGACAAAATTTATGTTTAGCTAATGAAAGAACATAGTTTAAAGTTTGAAACAAAATATCTTGAAGGTGGTGGCCACCGTTCTCTATGCATTGATGCGACCGTTTTCTGAAGCTCCCTTCTGCACGTTCCAACATGTGCAGCGGAATTTGGGCTACTTCCTGCCGAATAACATTCTTCAGCTGAAGCAGGTTTGTGGGGCGATGTTTAAAAACCTCTGCCTTGAGGTATCCCCATAAAAAATCACAGGGCGTTACATCAGGTGAGTGCGCTTCCCACGGGATGTCACCTCAAAGCGAGATGAGCCGTCCGGGGAACTTTGCCCTCAAAACTGTCATCGAAGCTCGGGCTGTGTGGGCCATGGCACCATCCTGTTGGAACCAGACATTTCCTAGATGCATTTCTTCAAGAGCTAGTTCGAAGAAGATTTTAATCATGTCCACATACCACTGTGAATTGACAGTAACTGCATGATTGTCTTCTTCAAAAAAATAAATGCCAATAACTCCAACTCTTGACAACGCACACCATACTGTCACCTAATCGCCGTGAAGTGGCTTCTCATGGAGCTCTCTGGGATTGTTACCACTCCAATAGCACATACTCTGCTTGTTGACATATTTAGATAGGTGAAAATGTGCCTCATCACTAAAGAAAACAAGTGCATCAGGGGGTAAAGTTTCCAATAACATTTCACACGCCGTTATTCGGTTCTGGAAATCACGTGGTGACAATTCTTGCACAACAATCATCTTATAGGGATGGAAATGAAGATGTTCGTGAAGAATTCGGTGCATTGAACGATTGGATATGTCTAGGGCGACTGCATGTTTGCAAAAGGCGTCTTGGAGATCTCAAAATCGACTGTCAAACTGCCTCCACATTTTCCGGTGTCGTAATGGTCCATTGTCGTCCTGATGATTTTTTCACTACACTCCCGATTGTCCTAAAGTTCTCTACCCACAAAACAATCGATTTCCAGTTGGGAACCAGACCTCTGGGCTTAATTCCGAAGTGAGTACGGAACGCACACTGCACCGCCACGTAGGAATGGTTGTTCGAAAAATAGGCTTTGACAGTAAACGCACGCTGGTCACTCGTCCACCTCATGTTTCCTACTGAGGGGTATTAGACAGAAACTTCCATGACTGCTGCGTACGCCAAGCCTATCCCCACTTTTCTGCGACCTCCCCTCCCTTCACAATGCGTCTTCACAAAAAGGAAGTTTCTGTGGCCCACCCTGTACAATACTTCCCTCCTAACTGAATCATAGGCTTTCTTGAAGTCTATGAATAGATGATGCATTGTTTCACTGTACTCCCATTTTTTTCTCCAGTATCTGACGAATGCAAGAGATCTGATCAGCAGTAGTTGATCTGTTACATTGAAAGTTTTCTATGCTGTCCATGGTCAGATGTTATAAGCAGGGCCAGTAGTTAGCTGCTTTGGTCGGTCAGTCAGTCAGTCAGCCGGCCAGTCACTGAACTGCTGGGGTTCAGTCATTGTGAGCTGCTGTGAGAAGCTGGTAGCTGATGCTAGGGACAGTTCGGGAACACAGAGGAAGGGGAACATCCGCCATTGAAAGCCGCTACCAAGCAACAGCAGTGAAGATGTGGCTGTGGACACTAGAGTGTGTAAAAGTGAACTGTCAAGTGTAGTCATGTGCTGTGTCAAATCCAGTCATCAATCTAAATCACTAAAATCATGACAATATGTACATGATTAAGAAAATATAGCCTGCCAAAATCTTGCCAAGCACCATGTATTTCTGAAGCTCACCTTGAGCAGTTGTGTTCTTTCAGGCACACCGAGCGAGGCATACATGTGGAACAAGGAAAAGTAATGAGGCAGGTGGCGGCCATGGTCAGATACTTCCTTGTGGAGAAGCAGCAGTACTGCATGCAACAGGTGGTCACTCAGCGTTGCATGAGGATCCAGCAGAATTGCTGCAGCAGCACAAGACATTCAGTTTCATGTAACGCTCTCAGTATATATATATAGTGCCCGAAAAAATGTATGCACACCATTCTGCTGTCATTTTCTTTGACTGTCCTGCCATTTGACAAGGTGGCTCTAGCATTCATGTGACTAGCATCACCTTTTGAGAAAATAGCACACTAAACTCTGTACATTATATTTTGGTTAATTTTTTTTGGCCCCTCTGTATGTACATATATATGTACGTACATGGGTGTGCATGTATAAAAATAAAAAACAAATGGGAAAGCAAACACAGCATCCCACTCTGTCTTTTAATTAACATTAAATGTAATTGTACAAGGTGCATATATCAGAATAACTGTAAAATGTAAAAGTAAATGGGCATTACTCATCCCTTATCAATCTGGTTTGCGTTTTCAGTAGACTTCACTGTTCTTGCAAAGTGCATAGGAGAAAGCTGTGCAGCAGGAGGCTTAACAGCAGGGAATAATCAGTGGCAGTTACTGTGAAACCCCTGTTCAATATAACTCCAGGAGAACAGCTTTTCTTTTACTGAACTGATGTCACTAAATCAGTGACACTTTCCTGGTATCTCGGCCACGCCATACCTCAAGCGGTTAGTCGCTGGCTTCCCACCGCAGCAGCCCAGGTTCGATCCCGGGTCTGGTTAAGTGGGATTTGTGGTGGTCAAAGTGGCGCTGGGGCAGGTTTTCTCTGAGTACTTCGGTTTCATTCCACCAAATTCTCCATCATCATAATTACCCGGGGCAGGCTACAATAGGCCAATCAGTGGCCGCTGTGCCGAGTGGACCCAGTTGAACTCCACCCCTCACTGAGTGAATTTAAAAAAAAAAATTCCTGGTATCTGACTAGACGGGCTGAGGAAAATCATAAAAGTACCGCGTCATGATGGACAGTTTAACAAACAAGATTCACACACACAGTTCTTCATGCACATGAGTAAGATATGCCATCAATTTGGTTAAGATTCTTTCTCAGACACCCTGAATTCAAAAATATATACAGCAATTATTTTGATGCCACTTCTTAACCATTACACTCGTATTACTAATGATCATAATATAAACACCATCCTGCGTAACACACGGGATATTTTACTGCCTTTACATGTCTTGGCCCATATGGGTCACTTTCAAAAGTCTTACATTAAAAGGAATTGCTTCAAGATTATTATACGTGGTGCGTTCCGTATATAATGCTTCCTATTTTTTTGTGTTAATATGTAACGTCTGAGCTGGATGTTGGTGGTGTTGTAGTAAAGGTTGAACCTTCCCGCCAATGTACTGTTAATTTGGTTGTCGTGTGACAGATAGCGACAGCATAGCAGTCTACCAAAATGGCATCTGACATAGAAGTGCGTATGAAAGAGAAATGTGTTATTGAATTTCTCACTGCCAAACAAATTGTACCCATTGACATCCATCGACACTTGCTAAAGGCGTACAGAGACAATACAGTGGATGTCAGCACAGTGACTCGGTGGGTAGTGCTTTTCAACAGTGGCGAAAGTGAAGTGCACGACAAGCCACGCCATGGGCGTCCCTGCTCAGCTGCCACTCCTCACAATGAACAGCGCCTCATTCGAAAAGATCAGCAGATAACAACCAGGGACTGTCAATTCTGAATGCTACAAGACGACGCTGACTACGCTGAAAGCCCGTATTTCCCGAGTCAGGCCAGAGAAGCAGACAACCTTTCGCTTGCAACACGATAACGCTAGACCCCATACCAGTTTGGCGACCACCGCGCACATTGCAAAGTTTGGCTGGACTGTCCTACCACATCCACCTTATAGCCCTGATTTAGCACCTTCAAACTTCCATCTCTTCGGGCCTATGAAAGACGGACTACGTGGGCAACATTTTCCAGACAACGATGCTGTCATTGCAGCTGTAAGAAAGTGGCTAGCCTCTGCTGGCGCAGACTTTTACAGGCGCGGCATACAGGCTCTTGTTCATCAATGGCAAAAGTGCATAACGAATGGTGGTGATTATGTGGAAAAATAGCTGTAAGTAGCTGAAATCTTGCTCTATTTAACTGCGTTATTATGATTTCTGTATCTGTTGTAGTTTTCTTTAAAAAAAAATAGGAGGCATTATATATGGAACGCCCTTAGTACAAACAGTATATCTGATATTCTGTCTTACGTGTACCAGTCCTTTTAAACTTTGTTTAGAAGTTACTGCATATACACAATGAGTCTTTTTAACCTATTTAAAAACATACTGTACACTACATGCTTAGACCATCATCGGCCATTATCAGGCGTTCTAAAACTGTTTGTGCTGTTTGTTTCAACAACATAACGCAGTTAGAGGAAACACCCAGCATAACGAGAAACACAAATGTATGATGGGACTACACATCAAACATTAAAAGGACAAAATGCAAGCACAGCAGTCTCAACAAAAAGTTTTAGAACACCTCATGATGATGACCAATGACGGTCAAAACATGTAGTGTACAATGAAGTTTTAAGTAGGTTTAAAAGACTCATCACGTATACGCAGTTAACTTTTAAACAGAGTTTTAAAGGAGTGTTGGATGTAAAACAGAATATCAGAGATATCTGTTAATTAATAAAAAATGTGCAAGAGGATACACTGATATAACCATATAGTCTTGTTTAGCATTAAAAAATTCTGTGTAGTTATAAAATATATCATATGAGTGTTGATGTACTCCCTTCTTGCTTGTTATTAGTTACTCCTACTGAAGTACAGGGTGGCATACAAAATGAACCTGTACTTGGTCTATTAATAAAATCTTTATTTCAATTATTATACTATAAGCTAATACACAAAAAAAAACATTATATGGAGATCTATCCTTTGCGAATCACGTGATCAATATGACTACCATTACGTATGGCAACTTCAACACGAACTGTGATGCTGATTACTTGATGACACATACCATCAGTTATCTCATTGCAGGCCTGAATGATTAGTGCTCTCAATTCCATTACTGTCTGCGTTTTTTTTTTAAATCTTTTCCTTAAGAAATTCCCAAAGATAGTAGCCACATGGGTTTCACTCAGGACCAATCAGGAAATCGGTTTGCGGTGACACGTGAGTCGAAAGTGTCATGCAGAAAGTCCAAAACATCATTTGCTGTGTGTGGCCTGGCTCCATCCTGCATGAACCACTGACTCTGTAATGTCAAACCTGTAGCAAGAAGGTGCGGCACAAAAGTATTGTGCAACATGCTTAAACAGCACTCACTGTTCACTCTCTCTTCAAGGAAAATTGGCCACAGCAGTCTGACTTGAGATGGTGACCCACACTGTTATTTTCAATGCATGATGCACCATCTCATAAAACATATGTGGATTCTCTGACACCCAAAATTGCGCATTTGGTTTATTAACCATACGACGAGGTGGAAGTGTGAATCTTCAGAAAACCAAACACTGTTCAACAAGACCTCATTATTCTGAGCCCATTCAGCAAATGACATTCTTCGATGTCTGTTTCGAACTGTAAGTTTAGGCAACACTGTTATTTTGTATGGAAGCAAATTCAATTCTTTTTTCAGTATTTGTCACATGGATGGTCTGGATATTCCTAGCTGTGCTTCAGCTTTCCTTGTTGATTTACTTCTTTGCAGTGCTACTCTGAGAGCGTCAATGTTCTCCGGAGAAGGCACAGATGAAGGCTGGCAACATTTCCTCTCCAACACTGAACCATCACTGTTAAACTGATTATAAAGTTTATGAACTGTTTTGAATAAAGGCACCCATTGTGTTTGAAAATGGGCACAAAACCACCTCTACACTGTCTTTATGTGTTGTTCTGGAGACAGTCTTCCTTTGTCAGCCATTTTGTATAAACTGTCACATGATCAGGAATAGTGCAACACTAGTACACTTGGGAAGAATAAGAATTAATCTCCATGATCTACCGTGTTACCACGTTACAAAACATCATTCATTGCATGGTTGAGTATTTAACCTTTATCCTACAGCCCTTTAAACTTACGTTGTGGCAGCGGTACGGAATTATTTAAAGGGCCGCTCTTAGAAATCCGTAAAAGCTGTAAGTTACTTACTAATTTTGCTCCTATTTCTGCTATTTCTGTGATAATCGAACGAAATAAACGCTGTTTTTTTCTCGAAAGAATATAGAATCAGATATTGTAATTTACAGATTGTATAAAACATGTTAAAATTTTTGCACTGACTCCAAAAAGAAATTTGCCAATTTTTTTCCTTCTCTGCGAGAATTCATACGTTTTGGACACCCCTGAAT